GAAATAAAAAGGATTATAACAGAATATTATGAAAAACTATACTCCAACAAATTTGAAAACCTAGAGGAAATGGATAAATTTCTAGAAACACACTATCTACCCAAACTACCACAAAGTGATGCTGAAAATCTGAATAGACCCATAACAAGAGAAGAGACTGAAAAGGTAATAAAAAAAACTCCCAACAAAAAAAAAAGCCCTGGCCCAAATGGCATCACTTGAGAATTCTACCAAACATTCTGAGAAGAGCTTATACCAGTACTACTCAAACTATTTCAGATAGTAGAAAAGGAAGCAACACTTCTGAATTCATTCTATGAAGCCAGGATAACTCTGATACCAAAACCAGGCAAAGATGCCACAAAGAAATATATGAAGAGATAATGGCTGGAAATTTCCAAAATTAACAAAAGACAACAAACCACAGATCCAAGAAGCTTGAGAATCACATTAGGATAAACCCCACCCTCCCCCCCAAAAAAACCCCATACATATACAATTAGATACATCATAGTCAAACTGCTAAAGATCAAATATAAAGATCTTGAAGGCAGCCAGAAAAAATGGCATGTTAAAGAAAAATAAAAATTACATCAGCCTTCTCATCAGAAACTATTCAAGCAAGAAGACAATGGAGTGGTATCTGTAAAGTTCTGAAAGAAAAATATTGGTCAATCTAGATTTCTATATCCAGGAAAAAATCTCTCTCAATAATGAAAATAAGAGGACTTAATTAATACTATCAAGATGTCAATTCTTCCCAATATGATCAATCGAGTCAATGAAATACCAATCAAAATCCTTGAATAACAAGTTATTCTATAGATACCGACAAATTGATTCCATAGTTTATATGGAAAGGCAACGGACCCAGAATAGCCAACACAATATTGAAGAAGAACAAATTTGGAGGACTGACACAACCTGACTTCAACAGTTACTATAAAGGTACAGTGATCAAGAAAGTGTGGTATTGGTGAAAAAACTGACAAATAGATCAATAGAACAGATTAGAAGTCTGAGAAATATATCCACACAAATATACTCAATTGATCTTTGACAAAAGAGCAAAGGCAATTCAATGGAAAAAGGATAGTCTTTTCAACAAATGGTACTGGAATAACTGGATATCCATATGTAAAAAATGAATCTAGACAGAGCTTACACCTTTCACAAAAATTATCTCAAAATGGATCACAGACCTAAATGTTAAATGGAGAGCTAAACAACTTCTACAAGACAACACAGGAGAATATCTACGTGACTTTGAGGATGGCAATGAGTTTTTAGATACGACACCAAAAGCATGATCCATAAAAGAAAAAAGTTGGTAAGATGGAATTCATTAAAATTAAAGACCTCTACTCTGCAAAAGACAATGTTAAGAGAATGAAGACAAGCTACAGACTGCGAGAAAATATTTGCAAAATACTGTATCCAAAATAAACAAGGAACTCTTAAAACTCAACAATAAGAAAACAAACAATCCAATTTAAAAATAAGCAAAAGATCTGAACAGACACCTCACCAAAGAAGATATACAGATGGCAAATACACACATGAAAAGATGCTCAACATTATATGTCATTACGTGATCGCAGATTAAAACAATCAGCTACCGCTACACAACTATTAGAAGGGCCAAAATCCAAAACACTGACCACACCAAATGCTGGGAAGGATGTGGAGCAAAAGGGACACTTATTCTTTCCTTGTGGGGATGCAAAACAGTACAACCATTTTGGAAGACAGTCTGGAATTTTCTTACAAAGCTAAACATAGTCTTATCATGCGATCCAGCAATCATGCTTCTAGGTTTATTTACCCAAATGAACTGAAAACTCATGTCCACACAAAAACCTGCAAACGAATGTTCACAGCAGTTTTGTTCGTAACTGCCAGACACTGGAAGAAACCAAGATGCCCTTTAATAGGTGAATGGATAAACAAACTGTAGTACATTCATACAACAGAGTATTTGAGAAAAAGAAATGAGCTATCAAGCCATGAAAAGACATGGAGAAACCCAAAATGAACATTGCTAAGTAAAAGAAGCCAGTGTGAAAAAGCTACATACTGTTATGATTCCAACTACATGACATTGTGGAAAAGGCAAAACTATAAAGACAGTAAAAAGATCAGTGGCTGCCAGGTGTTCAGGGGAAAGGGGAGGGATAAATAGGTGAAGCATTGGGCATTTTAAGGGCATGATACTTTAATGGTGGATACACAAGGTTATGCATTTGTCAAAACCTATAGAACTGTACACAGTGTTAGGTTCACAAAGAGTCAACCCTAACGTAAACTATG